TCTTGCTGAGCAGCCCCATATTATAACCAGAAAAGTCTATTTATTTCATTGGGTTTAATGTGATAAACCAACACAAAAAAAGTGCATAAATCCACTGATTCTCAATTGGACTTAGACAGAGCTAGGGCTGAAACAATTGATAGGATTAATCATGATCATTGTAATAATACTTAACTAATGTATAACTAATTTAACTAATTTTAATCGTTAACTTAAGTATATAGACTGTAAAGCATGCCTTTAGACAACAGAGCAACAATTTTAGTAAAAAAAAAGTCTATATATATTTTACCTTTAAGATAAACAAAATATTTTCCTCTGTCAGTATGCTCTATCCATAACTCCTCATGTGAAAATGTTTTAGTTTCACTGGTTTAATTATTTTTTTTTTTTTAAAAGGCTTCTTTAAGGAACCCTTGGCTATCTGATTATTAATCGAATAAAAGAAAAAAAACAAAAATCAACAGATTAATCGGTTTGCAAAATAATTGTTTGTTCCAGTCATAGACAGAGCCATTCTAACACACGTAGTTTGCTCTAAACAAATGTTTCACCTCTGTTGTAACAAATCAAGGTTTCAAGAAGTGTGAAGATCATAACTGACTAAAACTGTGAAGCATCAAATTAACAGTTTCTCTATTTGCTCACTGGAAGCCATAAGCTCTGGGCTGAAATATCTCAACATATCCTTAAATGTATGCAATACTTTCTTTAATTTAGATGTACAAGCTATAAATAACCTGAACTGATTTTTGCTGAGTCTAAATACAGTCACTAGAAAATGGCTCATGATGCATAAGCAGTGTTCTGGTAGAACAATTGAGCAGATTTTCTTTTTTTTTATCATTAATGCTTGGTCTGGACATTAACTATTGAGTTAAATCAAACCTTTAGTAGATAAGATGAAAATAAGAAAACATGTGTAAGTAGACTGTCTAACGTTGTTGTGATTGGAGCAGACCTTGCTCTGAGGTATTTTAGGCTTAGTCATTGATATACAGACGTTTTCAGCAGGATATCAGGTTATCAAAAACAGATTTATCTGAGCCCCTCAGTTGTATATTTAGGCCAACACTGGGCTAGCAAGCAATAATCTAATTAACATATGAAAGAGGATATATAGTGTTTAATAAATAAATAAGATCAGGGAATGTTTTTCTGATGTAATCTCTGTTTCTGACACAAACTGGTCTGTGGAATCTGACATTATTCGGGTCGTTGAACATCAATTAAACAATATTAACATATTATCACTCTGTTGAAAGCTGAAAATAGATCACTGATGTCTAACTTGCTGGTTTGTCATTCACAGCAGGAAGTCTGACAGAATGAATGAAGAACAACTCAACTTTGTGGCATTTCACTTGTAAAATTAGCATGGTTTTAGATTCACTTTATCACAAAAATAAACATGTCTAAAGGCAGATTGGCATCAGAGTGTGAAGTGCTTTTTTAGGAAGGTACTTTCCTCAGAACTGACTTCGAGTGGGAGTCCAGAGCACTGATTATTTCCAAGAAATCAATCCTTTGTTGTTGTTTGTTTCAGCCTTACAACCTCTGGTCCTCAATAAACCATTAAGTCTTTGAACTTTCAGTTATATATCATGAAAAACTGTTGACTTTTTTAAAGGTTTCAACCCAGTATTTAGGATAACCCTAAAGACAGTAATTCACATTTACAGCAGTTGATTGAAAAAAAACGTAACTGTTTAAGAGTTTAAATAATACTCAGTTTCCCTTTGAGATTGATAAGGTATTTAATTTTTCTAAATAAAGTGTGATAATTCTGACCCTCAGTCTTCACCATACTGTAAGCTGTTTGCAGTTTGGGCCGCATGGGGGCAGAGTCTGTAGCCCTGGTGCTTTGCTGCAAAAAAGGTCCTGGTTTTTAATCCCAATCCTGGGTCTTTCTGCAGGAGTCTGCATGTTCTCCTTGTGAATGTTTGGTTCTCTCTCAGTTTTTTGCTTCCTTCTTCAGTCCAAAAACAGGACTGTTTCAATCAGTTCATTGATGTTTGTACGTGTGTTTCTGTGTTGCCCTGTGATGGCAACCCCTCCATGATGCACTGCTGCCCATTGCTTTAAGACAGACCTCTACTTTGACTTCAGCTTCACCTGCTTATAGACTATAAATATAAAAAGAAAAATGCCACAAAAATAACCAAAAACAATAAAAAAAAAGAATATCTATGTAAACATGTATGTATGTACATTAACACATGGTATTTCTTCAATTTGAATAATCTCTAACCTTAAGATATATTTTCTTCTTTAACAGATTCAGCATATTTCAGCTACAATTGATGTTGGTTTAAATACATCTCATTAAAAACATCAAATTCCCATTTAGGAAACAAGCTTTACAGTTAAGTCAGGGGAGTGGCGGCTTAGTGGTTAGGGCATAGGGCTCCTGAGATTGGGAGTTTGATCCCCCACTCCCCCAGACTGCCACTCTGGGTCCCTTAGCAAGACCCTTAACCCCACACTGCTCCCCAGGCTGTGCACAATGGCAGCCCACTGCTCCCAAAGGGGATGGGTTAAATGCAGAGATAAATTTCTCCAATGTGAGATCAATAATGTTAAATTTATTTATTTATTTATTAAAATAATTTCTTGCTACATTTCAACAAGTTGACATTGTTTAATATAGAGTTGGCAATAAAGTTAAGCTGTAAGGCACCTAATATTTATTATTAATTTCAGTTTTACTTTACAACCAGATCTATGCAAAACAGATCTACAAAACTTGATAAACACACAAAATGAACTATGTGACTCCGCCACAAGAGGGCGCTATAATGCCTATTTTATATCTTGCATGCCTGCGCAACCTTATCTGATTTTGAGCAATACATACCAAGTGGGATGTCAATGGCAGTAGCCACGACTCCTATGGTGTTGGTGACAGCTTCTCCAACCTTTCTGGCCAGAGTCCCGCCTTCTTCTTCCTCAAGCTCTGACGCAAGTATTTCTGAACAAAGAAGAAAAACCAGAATAAAGCTGTGCTCACATAAAGATTAAATACCAGCATAAACAAGAAGACAAATGACATTTGGAAACACTGTGCGTGTACCTGCATATGAAGCTCTCTGCTCAAAGCAGACGTCACACACCCTGACAGGGGCAAGACCCCAGCCTCTCTCAGGGACGGGCGCAGCTTTGGACGAACAGCCGTCACAGAACCCCTCCCCGCAGGCACGGCAGTGATGCTTGGTGTCATTATCCTGGAAGACCGTGTGACACTTGTGGCACATCTTGTACGAAAGAAAGAAAGAAAACACGTGTCGTTATTGATCAAGAGCAACCAGGAGGAGGGTGCAACCTGCAGTCTACGCAAGTTTCATTTTATGACAGGCATGCATAAGCTGTGCAACAAGAGCACAGCACTGCAGAGAGTAAACATCCCTCTGGACATGAAAGTGTTGACTTGGCTGCTGGTAGCGGGTGGCAGAGGGTGAGTCTGTGTGTCACTCACCATGATGAGGGAGTTGGGTTTCCAGTAGGCTGGAGCGATCTGATCTGTCAGCCAAGAGGTGACGGCCTTAGCAGGTTTCACGCTGAGCTCTGATACCGACTGGGCCACTAGATTGACGCCATCGAGAAGCCGCTGTGCAGCATTGTTGTTGTCCTTTAAAAAGCCGTCAGACTGCAAAAAAAAAAAAAAAAAAAACAGGAGATCAATTTTAAATATCACAATATCTAAAGGTCTATGAAATAATAAAAGAAGTCAGTTGGATTTTTTAAAATGAGGGTCTGTAAAATTATGAGTGATATTTCTATTCATTTAGCTCATTATAGCTATCTAAAAATTTTCACATTTAACATTATACAAGAACATCTCACAAGGGATCATTGCTAATACTCCAATCATACTCCTCATTTGATTGCATAGCCAGAGATTGGCTATATATGCTGTCTTTGATAAATAAAACTAAAAGCATCACCTTCCTACATGTTTGAAAAATCTACCATTATATTAAACGATTATCAGCTAAATACCAATATGGTCACTGGGGGACGACCATGACTTAACAGCTAAAGCAGCATCACTGAACACTTCATCCAAATACATATTATATAAACTAGATGCAAATCAAGGCAGATCTGTGTATTTCAAAGACTAACAGGAGAGACCTTTAAACTGTTTTTGTACTACTATAAAAAGTTATGTTTATTCTGGTTTCTGGCTGCTAAGCTATGGCTCATCAATCCGCTCATCATCCGGCGTGTGGGGAGCAAAAGTAAGGATTTTTTAACAGTTGTGCAAAGACATTGGACACAAAAGATCCCTGTATTTTCCAGGTCATTTTCATCTAAAATTATCACGGCATATCAGCTGATCTATCAGTTTTTATATGCAACATATACCTCGATAATCGAATAAAACAGTAACAAAAATAATACCTTTCTTGTGAAGGAATGCACTAGGGCCTTTTAACCTAAGGCTCTTAAAGCTCTAGAAAATTATTTAAATTGAGATTTTCCCAGAATTAGAAAAAAATTATCAGTATGTTTTAGGGCTGGAACTAAAGATTATTTTGCAATTCAATTAATCTGTTGATTATTTTTTTTCTATGAATCGATTATAATCGGATAGCCAACAGTTCCTTAAAGGTACCTTTTGCTAAATTAAACCAGGTGAGATTAAAGCATTTCCACTTGAGGCGTTGTGGATTGAGCATATTGACATATGAATCTTTTCTTTACCTTAAATTCAAAATGTTTACATTTTATTTTACAATTTGGGTATCATTACTGCTCAAGGAAGGTCACTCTGTCAGCTAAAGACAAGCTTTAGATTCTCTACACTCCAGTTAAGGATTAATTGATTACTATATTAGTTGAAGATTAGTTCAATAGTCGATTAATGATGATTAATCCAATTAATTGTTTCAGCCCTAGCATTTTGACATGATGAAGTAACAAACACACTAATTTTAGTAATTTTTTTCCAGTATCTTAATTCAAATATTTAAAAAACAATAACAAAACCGATCCAAGAAAAAAAATGCTTTTTTTTTTCATTAAGCACAAAGGTACGTATCAGTTTCTTAATTTTCTGTCAACATGTAACATTCAAATAAAAAAAAATCTATTGTTTAATGTTTTGTAAAAAGTCTGATATTGTTTAAATCTTCTTAAACCTATTACCAGAAGAAATAATGTTTCTTTTACTTGTATGTAATATAGAACATATTTCATACAGAGCAATTCTCCTCAGAATTTAGCCTTTCACAGCGCTGAACATTTCTCCATTTTTCTGAAACTCAAAATGAATTAACATCTTTCTACTGAATAGAAGAGAATTATCACTCATAATAACGTCACCTCATTAAATGTTTTCACTTAAAAGCATTTATTTACCCCTGGCCAAACATGTTGGATCTCAGTGCGAACGACTGTATCCACAGGGTCCTGGTTGCCATACCAGTACTGGCGGCTTCGGTAGATCACTCCACAGTTTGGACATTCAATAACATACCTAAACATGTAGAAGAAGTTAAAAAAAAAGAACATTCACTACTTAACAATTGAATGTGCTTACAAAACAGGTTGTTTGCTGGAGGGTTTATTTAACAGGCACCTGTGCAGCCAGCGTCAAGATTTACAAAGTACCCGCAGCAAGCTGTGCAAAAGTTTAAAAACGGTTTGATCTCCAAAAAAAATTTAAAAAAGTTTACAATGACGATTTTGGGTTCTTGATTCCACAGAAGTTCATTTGTTCAGTCTTCTCTGGCGAAATGTGAAGCACTAACCCTGCAGCTGGAGCAGCTGTCTGAAAGAAGGCTGCTACAAGAGAGAAAGAATTGTGATTCTTGGAAAGATTTCCAGTTGCGGAAAAACCAAGACATCCACCTATCATTTATTCAGGTCTGCGCGGCAGAGTGACGTTGTTTTGGCTTCCATGTCCCTCAGTGCATCGTCCGGGCGGACAAAATTTCCGCACTGCGCACCTAAGAAAATTTGAAACGACGCGCACAGCTGTGTGGAAAAATATGGTGGATGAGCGACAACTCTCAGGGTTAACAAATATAAACATCTAGAGACATCTTGGGATTTAGCCCAAAAATATCACAATCACCAGACTGTGAATAAAACTACTGTCACTCTTGGATGACACCAGAATGCAGAAACCCTCTGAGATTTCTACTCCATTGTTTAGCGTGATGTTGTAGGCTTGTGTTTTGTGTTTTACACGCCTCCCCAGAGCTAGCCATAATATTACCGTAGCTACAAGCTGTATTGAGTAAAAAAGCTGCAGACTGCACACCTGTTCGCCACAGAGCGTTCGTGCCTAGAACATAAACCAAGCGTTACAGTTTAAAAGGCAGGACAGCAAAAAGCTGCAACAACTTTTACAAGAGGCACCTTAAATTAACTATAACAATGATGTTTATTGGTTAGAATTGATTTCCTCACTATGTCTATGTAGATCTTATGAGTAGATCTTTCCCTTAATACTTGGAAATCAAATGCAGGTACAAATTAATGCTGGACTGTATTTAAACGAAACAGCTAAACATAAAGAGGCAAAAAGGTGAACTTAGTTTATGTATCAAAAAGACCTATAAATAAAATTAACAGATTAACACCATTATTTTACCAAAGTATGGAAGCAGTAGGAAAAACCATACTTGTTTGTTTTTTATTAAATCCAGTAGATAAAGTCCAACCAATGAATAATGCTTTAGGTTATCACACGTTTAAGATCTAACGATGACCTATGTCTGGAATAATGACTAAAAGCATTGAGATACAGAAAGCGTTTCCATCTACAGGTCAGATTTATTGCTACTCACCCAGACCAGGCGTATCTAGCCAGGCCCATCCATGGGGAGTCTGAGGAAGCTGACGTCTTCGGGACAACTATCATTTCCTTCCCTCCTTCATAACAAGCCTAAGACAACAATTTTTTATTTATTTTTTTTTAGATACATCTAATTAATAAATCAAAAACTATATTTCTGTGTTGTGTTAAAAAAGGGAATAATAAAGCAGGGTGGAGCCACTATGCTTACCTTACACGTATAAATGCGATTATCATACTGAGCAGAGTAACGGCAGCGTTGCTTCGCCTCATGGTACGACCCTTCATGCAAGTGGTTCATACTATTTTTGCATCCGGATCTGAAATAAATTAGATTTTATTCATTAACTTTAAATTTAATGTTTTGGGGAAGGCATTTTTGAAATTTTTTTAGAAGGTAGAAATGACTGACCCACAACTGAGGCAAAAGCTGGAACAGGTGAAGTACTCATCAGGGAAGAAGCAGCTTTGTGTTGCAACCTCACCTGCGATTTCTCCATTAAAGCGTTCACTCAGTGCCTGTATGCACAGTGAGGAAAAACAAAATCTCTTACAGATACACTACAAGGATCAGCTTAGTCTACTGAAGCAACTAGAGAGATGAAAGCAGAGTGATGAAAGAGTCAGCTGACATGCTGCTCTACCTGCAGGGCTTTGAAGATGACGCCTGGGGCACGAGGCGAGCGGGTGGCATTGTTATCCAGGAGCTGATCCAGTTTATTCTGCAAGCCCCGAAAATCGGTGGGAGGACTGAGAGTCTGTGTGCCCCAATATTGGACGGAGCTGAAGGCTTCCGGAAAACGGGAAAGCTTCCTAAAGCGCTCCAACAGCAGCCGATCCACAGAGTCCGACGATTTATCTACAATAAAACAAAGATGGTATAAAACAATCATCAAAGTGAATAAGCAGTATTTACATTATTTAAAACCACTCATTGTGAATCAACATTTTTTATTTCTTTCCTAATGCAGTTTTCCCTATAGAAGACATTTATGTTTGTTTTTTTTTGCACTAAAATCTAGATTTTAAAGCAATGTAAACACTCCAACATGTTTTGAAACAAGGTTGTAAAATAAATATAATCAACAAAAGAAAAATAACCATAACCTGGTAATAATCAGTTACTACAATGCTGCTTTAATCAATCCATTTGCTATAACTTCAAATGGGTTATGTGGTCAGAGAGTTTTTATTGACACTTTTAAAGTCCTGTTCGTTCAACATAAAGTAATTGGTAAGTCCTCAAAATGTAAAATTAAAGCTCCTGTACATGGTCCAAAAAACCAAAATATTAACTAGGAATCAATAACATCTAAACCTGAGATTTATATGGCTTGATAATTTAGTAAAAATACTTTGAGTAAATAGACAGAAAGACATATTACAGACTCGTAGTATATAGAAAAAAAACTGTATAAATATGAGGATGTCTCACCTGAACCCAGGAGCTTGGTGTGGACAGTTTCATGGAAGATGACCACAGCAGGGCCCAGGGTGGACAGCGGGACATCCAGGCCACAGCGAGCCGTTGTGGCTTTTAGCTCCTTAGTGAAATGCCTCAGATAAGCATCAGAGGCATCGCCGAGGAACTTGAAAAGGTCGTCGTGGAGGCGGTCGGCATGAGTGCGGTAAATGATGAGGTCTGAAATGGCGAGCACCTTGAGAAGTAAACGAGTTCTTTGACCCTGTTTGGAGCTGTTACCAAGCAGCCCCTCTGTATCGATGACCACAATCTTATGGATGGGGTCAAATGCTGCCCATACACCCACTGTGCAGGACTCCTGAGTGGGGGAGGTTTTGAAGACTTCTCTGCCCATGAAGAAGGTGTGGTTCAGAGTGTGGGATTTGCCCTCCCCTGTGTTACCGAAGATGGAGACCACCTTCAGCAGTAGATTGGGGCTGCAGCCAAGAGCCCTTATGAATGAGGCTTCATCTTTTATCTTGAGGGGAACAAACAAAGAACATGGAGTATTAGCAAATCTAGGCCTGACAGAAAAGGGGCCGAATAAACACAAGTAGGGATTTACTTCCTTACAAAAAAAACCTAACTGTCGAATAAATAAATCAACATGTGCATTAGCTTGCTACTGCTTCATAGCCTGTTAAGGTAAGCTGACGGGGAGATGTTTCTGCATACAGGGTAAAAACGGAGGATTTTTTTTTTTATGGTTTGGCATCAAGATGCCCACCAGAGAGGGAATTTATCTCCAAGACACAAACTTTTAAATACAGGAAGTAGTGGGATTGAACTACAGAGGACCAAGGAACAATGGAACAATTCATTGGATTTATCAGTTATTGAAAAATTCATCTAATTTAGTTGCTTAATCATCAACTTGAGTATAGAGACTCTAAAACATGCCTTTAGTTGACAAAACAACCATCTTGGAGCAGTAAATATACAATAAATTAAAAAAAACAAACATATATAAACATTTTGCATTTAGGATAAAAAAAAAAAAAAAACGTTCTTAGTATATCAATATAAACTTTCCAAAGATCCTCAAGTGGAAATGTTTTAGGTTCTACCTTGTTTAAATTCAGTGAAAAATCTTTAAGAAAATTCTGCCTTCCATTGTTAATCAATTAATAAAAAAAAAAAAAAAACATTGGCAGATTATTCAATAAGCAAAATTATCTTTGGTTGCAGCCCTGGTAACAATAAAATGTTTCCCTTGGTCATGCTGAAATTAAGGAATTATAAATAAACATGCCTAAAAAAATAATTAATTAAAACATCCTCAAGGAGAAATTTACCCAACGATCTAAAACAAATTTAGAGATGAACAAATGTTTTTTTGTTTTTTTTTTCCCACCACAACATAATGTTGTGTTTGGAGACCAAAGAAAGGGAAAACTTTAGTAACTCAGGGACCAAACCATCAGAATTGTATACTCTTTAATAACCTATAGATCTTTTTTTTTTTTCAAAACTGATCTACTCCTCATTAAATGCCTAATAAAATGTTAAATATGCAACTTCAGTGTGGAAAAGAAATATCTAAAATGAAACACTGAAGTTGTAACGGTTTTAAAAAGCTAATTCAAAGTCAGTCTATAAAAGTTAAGCAATAAATTTACCAGTGAGTTGAAAGAGCATCAGTGATGGTAAAGGGATTTAAACATTATTCGCATTGAAAGAGCTCACCTGCATTTTTTCATTCTCGTCTACAAGGAGAAAGCTGGACACCTTCTCCAGAAGCCTTGTTCTCTCGGTCGACTCGGCCACATCTGGGCTCTGAACCGGTGTTTTGGTTGACGTTTTGGAGCTCCCTTCAGGAGGTTTGGGTGATGGAGGATAAGATACGAGCTGGTGTTTTTTCTTGCTACTTCCACTGTGGGTACGTTTCTGACAGTCTTGACACAGATTCAGTTTACAATTCTGGCAGCGAACGACAGACCTGTGGCGTTTGCTGCTATCCCCGTTCCCTCCTTTGCAGTTGTCACAGTAAGGAACATGCCCAGGACCAACAGGGACCCGATCGTGGTTCCTTAGGTGCTCCTGACGGTGGAGCTCCAGATCACACCTGACACACTGAAGAGTTTTGCAGTCATCACACTCAAATGCAGCCTCTTCAGAGCCGCTGCAGGAATAATTCTCCTGACATATTAAGCTTGTATTGACTCCCTTTTCAGATGATGAGCCATGGCCACTCATTGTTTATTAAAAGATAACCTTTAATTCTGATTATTACTTATTGCAACAAGTTTGACAGAAACAGAAAATGGCTTTAAAGATAAAGTGAAATGCACATAAACTAATACTGTAATGCTATTAATAAATAAGCTTATGACATCTGCATGGTGGTAGGTTGAGCTGCACTGCCTTTAACAAGTGATAAAAACTTTAAATTAGATTTTAAATATTCAGAAAATGACAGTGCAGCTAATAGCAGGGCTAACAGATATAAACACTAACAGCTAGCTTGTTGAAGTTGGCATTTACCTTAAACTATATGACTATCTTTCGATTTTACAACTTTATTTTCTGACTAGATAAATGTAAAACTTAGATAAATAAAGGAAAAATTAATAGGAGAGTACAGACAGTACCAAACGAATAACGGGAGCTTTTTGTGAGAGGAATAAATATGTAAATGTTGATGCTAACGACAAGCTAGATAGCAAAACAAAAATGAGCAGAGATGCTAACTGCTATAATGCGATGTGATGAATTTGGCTTAAAAGTAGCTTTGTTTAGCAGTACGTGTGTGAACTTTTCCTCCAGAGAGAAGCAGTAAAAGCTAACGCTACACGTCCAAACAAGCAACTAGCTCCCTGTTTGTCAACTGAACTGAAGAGGTAAAAAACTAGCCGGGGTAAAAGAACCGCTGATAAACACGGGTTGTTAAACTTTACAACGGGAGGAATATCCACGAAATTCCCTTGTAAAATTCCTTTTAAAGGCTTACTGTTTTTGACTCGTTCCGAGCAGTGTCATTGTTTTGTTCTTTAGCCCCCCCTCCCTTGCAGATGTCAGTAGCTATGTTTTGTTGCTAGGTCAGATCAGCTGATTTTTCTTCTTCTTCTTATAGAAATTTTCATGCCGGTTGTCAAAAACGTTAGGTGAGCATTACCGCCACCAACTGGTAAGGAGTGTGTACCACATGGCAAAAAAAACAACAACAACTATATCCTGTTAGACAATTCAATCTGTTGCAAAAACTCAAATATAACCTGATTCCTTTTGCAGTAAATCAACAATTTCCAGTTTCATTTTCATATTACTAAGTTTCCTAATTAACTTGTTTTCTCTGAATCAAATATTTCCCATATAAATATTTTCCATATTAAAAAAAACGACCTACTCAATCCTTTGTGTCCTATTCTAAGTCGTGAAATAATTATCTCTTCTCTCCAGCTGATCTGATTATTTGAGGCAAGGGAAGGTGAAGGAGGAAGTAGAGTACTGTGGCATGATGGGAGATGTAGTTCAATATGTCATGCTGGGTATTGGACACAGATTCACCATCAGAATGCATTAGTTTCACGTTTTATTAAAGTACTACAGTTACCAACTCAAATGTGTTTTATTGGGAATTTTTGTGATAGATCGATACTATGTAAAACATTTGAAGGACAAGGAGAATTTGGACGTTTTATAAACAAAAATGTGAAAAATGGGATGGGTATTTTATGAATGTTTTATTTTTGTTATCAACTTGTACTTATTTATTTCAAAAATAAATTCCTTCTTGTAATAAAGGCAAATGTGTAGAGTACGTGGCGGAATCCCTGCAACTCCTCTGGAGTAACCATGGGCTTCTTCACTGCTTCTCTGAATATTATTGATCTTTTTTTCCAGCATTTTACAGTTATTACACTGTCACAAGTACAGGGCAACTAAATTGACTCACTGCATTTAACCCATCCCCTTGGGGAGCAGTGGGCTGCCAGTGTGGCGCCCAGGGCGTAATCAGGGGTTAAGGATCTTGCTCAGGGACCAAGAGTGGCAGTCTGTGGGAGTGGGCCTTGAACTCCAACAGACTGAACTAAGCACAATGCCTAAGCAATCAAACGAAAGCTAGTTTCAGCATCTTGTATCCAGGATTTTGATCTTTTGGTCATGATCCATATTTCATGACCATGAGGGTAGAACCCTAGGAAGGAGTAGGATCTAGAACTGAGCTCTCTCTTCACCTTAACAGATCAGTGGAGCGTTCTCATTGTAGCAGCAACACTGGAAATTTAACACCTTGATTTTGCCATGTATACATGAATACTGATGATCTATGATCAGACATAGCTTGCTTTTCTCACTCTATCTGAAAGCAAAAGGTTAACATCTAAAAAAAAGAGTATTTCTTTAGAAAAAAAAAAAACATTTTACCATTAGATTGATAATGATAATTATAATATAATTTCTAATTATTACTTAAATATGTTTCAACATTGGTACAATCTTATATACAGAGCTTACTCTTGATGCTTTGCTTTGCTGTTTCATATTATTTCTGGCTTTTTGCTTTGCGTGCACTGGTTGCATGCACTGAAGTGGATGTTACAGCTTTCATTCTAGTCTAATTTTAACAATTGTTGTTGAAGTGCCTTTACGGTTGTGTTTAAAGGCAACAGAAAAAGTATTATCTGCCCAGCTTTGAGACTTTGCTGAGTCATCGCTCAGTACTCCATGTGATTCTGAGCTGTGATCCTCTCATCTGTCCTGCCTGAAGCTCACTGATCAGCTATAATGTGCAATTTTGAAGGTCAGACCGAGGTCCAACCAGAATTTTGGAGGAGGTTTGCAATGTGGATCGGTGAAATCCTCATAAAAGAGATGTCATGGAAAGATACCAGGTTGACCAGGGTCAAAAAAAACTCCTGACAAATCTAATAAGGCACAGTGATAAGCAAATAATTAACATTCTGTGTATATAATTTTGTCAAAATCACCAGGACCTGCTGCATCTATTAGTTTGATCATTTAGAATTCAATAAACAATACCTCTAAGCTGGATAAAAATGATGATTAGTCCTACCACTGTAAATCAGCTACATTTATAATTAGATGAAACTGATTATCATTCTAATGAAAACATAAGATGCCTTCTGTCTCTATTCCCTAGTGCAAAGGCAGTTTTGGCAAATGGAATACAGACCAACATCTTTAATCAAGACAGTTAGAGCATAATGGTGAGTAAAGAGCTAAATATTTCACCCCAAGGCATCAGCATTGAGACCAATACTGATTACTCCCCACATAATTTACACATGTAAGATTTGAAAAATACTAAATGTTTTATTTGCAGAAGCTGAGAGCTGAGAACAGCTCAATGATATAACAGAAATGATAACTAAAAAAACTACTTTAACAAAAACAAAATGTCAATTAATTAAAAGAAAACTAAGTTTTTATTATTTAGTAATTATAAAAGGACTATAGATATGAAAATCAAAGTTGATGGGATAAATGTGTAGAACGGGTACATTAAGTGACTGCTTGCACTTTCTAGAACAATACACTAGGGGGCAGCCTAGAGACCTTGTGCATATTTACCAGCATTTACCATCAGAACTGGGCTACCTTAAAGCTAAAAGTCTTATTTCTGAACATTTTGAAAACGAATATAAAATTGCACAGGCCTATATAGACAAAATTAACTGCTGGCCTGCTATTAAAAATGAGGACTTTAATCACTGCAAGCATTTTCTCTGTTTTTACAGTTTACAGTTTTTACAATTCTGTTGTTGAGGAGGCTAAAAACTCTACCAGTTCTTTCATCTCCTACTTCTCATCAGGATGAAATTAAAAACGTCTGTAGCTTGGGTTTTAAAGCTCAAAGAACTCCTCCTTCAGCCATCTCAAAAACGAAAAGAGTTTTCTGCAATGATGCATCAGTATACGGATGATGTAAAAATTAAAGAGCAAATGGTTTCACAAAAAAAAAGCAGCAATTTAAAGCTATGCTGAAAACCCAGTGTTTGACATTTGAAGATCTGACTACAGCAGAGCATTTGATTATTCTCTTTGAACAACAGCATAGGTTTGGAGCAGAGATCAGCTCACTCAGAGCCACAAAACCGTCTGTAAAGACAGCCAGCTGTACAGACTCGATCCAGTGGACGATAATGGAGTCCTCAGAGTGGGAAGACATCTTAAAAGAGCTGCTATGCCATCTGAAATTAAGCATCCGGTCATCCTGTGTAAAAACATGCATGCAGCAACATTAATTCTGCTTTACATTCACCGTCTGCTTGGTCATGCAGGAAGAAACCACATGTTGGCCAGGCTCCATCAGAGATACTGGATAATCAATGCAAACTCTGCTGCCAGAAAGATCCTGACTGACTGTGTCACCTGCAGAAGAAATAGAGGAAAGCTTCTGGAACAAAAATGGCCGACATGCCCCAGGAAACGGTAGCACCAGATAAACCCCCATTTTCAGATGTTGGTCTAGATTATTTTGGCCCCATTGATGTTAAAAGAGGCAGAAGTCTTCTCAAATGTTACGGAGTATTATTTACTTGCCCAACTAGTTGTGGCGTTCATTTAGAGGTGGCTCATACCCTTGACACTGATTCTTGCATTAATGCAATCAGAAGATCCATCTGCAGGCACGGTCCAGTCTTTTCCATCAGGTCAGATAATGGCACAAATTTTGTGGGAGCCAACAGAGAACTAAAAGAAAGTCTGGCTGCCTTAAACCAGAGCAGAATCCAAAAGGCTCTGCTTCAGGATGGCATAAACTGGCATTTCAATATATCTGCTGCTTCACATCAAGGGGGCATCTGGGAGCGCTTGATCCGTTCAGCCAGGAGTGTACTCACCTCAGTTCTAAAACAGGTTGTGGATAATGAAACACTGCAAACTGTTTTCTGTGAGGCTGAAGCCATTTTGAATGACTGACCAATCACTTTGGTCTCGGAGGATCCAAATGATTTAGAAGCCCTCTCACCAAATTACATTCTGACATTAAAGAGGAAACCCGTTCTGCCACTTGGACTGTTTCAGAAACAAGCCATAGATGGAAGCAAATACAGTATATGGCTGAACTATGTTGGAAAAGATGGATCTCTGAGTGTCTGCCATTACTGCAGGAAAGACAAGTGGATGAGACGGAAAAGAAACATCTCTCCTGGAGACATTGTCCTGATCGCAGATGCTACTGCAGCCAGAGGATGGGGAGAGTCCTGGCAGTCAAAGCTGATGCATGAGGCCTGGTTCGTTCAGTGCAACTTCAGACCAAAACCAGTGACAAAGCTCTGTCTGCTCCTGGAGACATCCCTATTCCTTCACAAAGAATAATTCATGTCTTTGTATTAATATAGTATATTCTTGAGTGTGTTAGAATAGCTCCTTTAGTTAGAGATATAATTGTGATTTAATGCACAATTAGGGGCTGGAGTGTAGGAGCTATCTCTCCATTTTTTAGTTAAATCTTAGAATTTGGATTATTTATTTTGATTTGTTATTTACAATAGGATTTGTTTAGTCATTCACTTAATTAGTTCATTAATTTTAGCTTGGGATGTGGGAATTCCACAGTATAAATAGGTAGGTCTTAGGTAGCTCATTATGCATGGGTGGTCATATGGTTTTATTACCAGTTCTCAGTCTCAGTTCTCAGTTTTCACCCAGCACATAGATGCCGATTCTTAGACATTGAACTTCAATCTAGAAAAGATAGGACGGAAATGTGGACCTGACTTGGGATAAAACTAAAAC